GAATTCTCGAGCACTCGAGTCTCCATCTGGAGTGCCAAAATTTTACGACCTCGAGAATAATCGGGCGCTTGCCAAGCTTTATTAAAGCTGTGGGTAGGCTTCCATTTATATGGTTCGTGGCGACGACTTTATCAACGTCATGGCGGAACAAATTTCTTGTTCTCGTTGCGCCCTACGTACTTGTTTTTCTTGTAAATATGTGCAAGAGAGCAGCAGCCTATAGAATATATAATATTATAAGCCTACGTATCGTACGCGGCACGCTGACACTTTACAAACTCGTTTGAATTCATTAATAATTATCAGACCGCGGCCGAGAGAAATTGTTTCTCTCTCGTGGACATTGAATGTGTTTATTTGTCGCAAGCGCGAGGGCAATAAGATATATGTCGCGCGCCGGTCGCCCGGCCGTGTTCCAAATGACTCGGACACGTGTTTATTCGCGAAATTATTTAGCTTTGGACACGCTCGCGGCCCGATTTTTATCGTCCGATCAAAGGACAATTTATTGAATTTCCTGCCAAAATATTTGGTCGCGCGACACTACCGTTAATATTTCAATCGACGCCGGCGCATGCTTTTATATTCGAACTAATTTGCGATTTGATGATTTCACCGCTGAAATATCGCGTCGTCGTAATGTAAAATTGAACGCCGTGCATATAAATTCTCTTAAAAAATACGTTGTGTTGTTTAGCGAATACAAGTGAGCAACGTTAGGAGAGAACGGTGTCGCGTGCGCGTGCTGTTCATCCGCTAAAAATAAGTTATAATTTAAAATCATTGCAGAAGGCTCGCAAGTGCGGCAGTAACATTAAAACGATGGACCATTGCGCCTTAAACGACCAATTGGAGAGGCTCAACCGCAGTAAAACACACAACGGCCAAAGAGCCATACATCACGAAGAATGAAGTAGCATCAGAGAGAGAGAGAGAGAGGCAAGCAGGCCGTGCGATGTGCGGTCTTAATTTTGCGCGCGACTCTTGCGTTCGATTTTTTACTTTGGGATCGAGACCAGTCGCCTCGCCGCACCGGAACGCGGCCTTACTGGCGACGCCGAAGAGCGGAGAGGAAGAGTTAGAGACGTCCAAAAGTCAAGCGAGGTAGCTCGAGAGGTTCGCGGCTGCAGCAAGATCGAGAGCTGCTAGCTGCTCGCCCATAAAAGTTCTGACGTCCATCAGTTGGCGAGGCACTGACATAATGCGGGCCGTTAAAGCGAGCCGCTCTGCATACTAATGCACCGCGGGCCTTCTCATTACGAACTCGTAAAACTATGGCACAGCGAAAAGAAATGAAGAGAGAGAGAGAGAGAGAGAGAGAGAGAGCTTGCCGAATGTAGCCTGCAGTCGCCCAAAGTAAGAAGAAGAAGAAGATAAAGAGGAGGAGGAGGAGGAGGAGGAGGAGGAGAAGGGGGCGAGGGAAGGCGCGCGCGAGCGCGAGCGCAGAACCAGTTTGGCTGGGCGTGTTGCCTGAGAACGCAAGTGGAATCCGCTCCGTTCCCACGTGGAAAGTCGGCGGCGCATCCACCTGCAGCAGCAGCGGCTACAAGCAGCAGCGCTGCCGCTGATATATACATGCATGCAAGCGGTTCGCAGTCGCCAGGCTGCCGCCTCGAATTCCTATCCAGGTCGCTCAGTCTCCCCGTGCCCGGCTGCATATGTATAGCCGAGGCTTTGCGTTCTGCGAATTTCGCTATGCATCCTACATACATCGACGCTCGATAATGCAACGCTACCGGTAATTGGTTCATTTGGCTATCGTGAGCCCCGACGACCTGCTCTCTATCGTGATCCCCCTTGCCGCGCGTCCATAACCTTGCCACGATTCTGCGAGAAAGCTGTTCCAGCCTAACGACTGCGTTTCACGGAAATTTCCGCGAAATGCCGTCCAAACAAATTCCGCTCGCTTTCAACAACTTGCGCGTATATTTTCGAGCGCGCCCCGAGTTGCGCGATACAGGCAGGTCGGGTTCTCGATTGAACCGAAGCAAGCAACACTTGCGGCCCATCCATGTGTATCGGCTCATTGCGCCCGTTCAAGTGATCAAAATCGGAGGCTATTTTTTTTCCTCTCTAGAGGCCCGGCACATGTAACAATCAAAACAGTCGAGCGGAGCGGCATCTGTTGCGAAGAGAGAAAAAATGACTTGCAGGACTCGAGTGTACATACATACCGTTGTTTTTCGTCGAGGGATTTTATCAGGGTGCATCCGGCGCACTAAACGCTCAAGGATATGGCGTGGACTGGAAGCCAACAGAAGAGAGAAAAAAAATAAGTAGGTAGCTAAGAGATCCTTTGAGGCAGAAAGCACATGCAACTGTTCTCCTTCCCTTTCTTCGCGTCTACATTAATCCGACATCCTCTCGCGATGGGCATTGTGTAGAAGAGGAAAACGCCGACAATGGGTTGGCCTAGTGCACGTAGCACTCGAGCATGACGGCGAGGAGGATGCAGTTCGCCAGCTGACGATGCATTATGAGCCGGCGCTGGGGCTGCAAGTACGCTAGCCGAGGTTAGACGGGGTGTGAGCAAGTGCGCCCGACGAGGAGGACGAAAGAGGAAGAAGGCGCACGCCAATGCGAGAGCAGCAGCTGCGGGCTCGAACGAATAATCCATTATTCCCAACGTTAGCCGCTCTAATTGTGCAATCCCGAGTGTATGGCAAGTTAGCTTCCCGTCGCGCGGCCACTCACCGCTGAGCTTAGAGCGGCACAGCGGCGGGGGTGGTAATTGCCAATTTCCACGTGAGCCACGCCGCGCAGCTGAGGATCGTCCGCGAGCGGCTACTCTTCACGGGAACCCGTCGGCCGATCGCGGCTCTCGCGCTACGCGGAAAGCGACCTAACGAGTGGCTTCGCCCTCGACTCGGGGATCGACTGCAACGCGCCAAGCCCTCTTACGGCCTGTACACGCCGCCGGGATGGCCGCGGCACTCGTGCGCCTTTACTCGGACCGGCAGCCGGCTCGCTGCTTCTTATCCCGCTCGTCGCCGCTGAAATTCGGGCAGCCACGATTGCCGGCCGCGAAAAGCCACGCTCTTGCAAGCACCTTTCTCCGCTGGCGGATCATAGAAGGTTCCCGCGAACCGACGTTCCGCGCGAACGCCCAACGACAAACCGGACGACACGCGGAACTGATCGATACGTCGGGCCGCCGCGTTTGGCGCATCGTTGCGCGCGTGCATTTACGCGTAGCCGTTATGCGCGCCTGAAGTCACGATTCCGCAACGCCGCCTGCGCCATCGCCTCGCCGCGACGCGTGCCTGCGGACCGATGTCGCAATCATTGCCACATTCGTCTAAGCAGTGATGGGTATCGAGATGATCTATGCATTTTGCGCATTTTGCGGATAAAGCAAAATACATAGCGGCGATGTCGAAACTCCTTGCGGCTACTACGTCCAATCGAATCTCGCGAAATTATATTTAAATGGGCGCGGGCAGTCGGCAAAGGCGCGAAGCGAGAGAAGGACCTCTGGAAAAATAGCAATTTATAAGCGCGTGCGCGCGCTTGTACGGCGCGTATAGGTGAGCTGCGAAAGCCACGCGAATGTGCGCGCACACCTACGTTCGTGCACGCGTGTGTGCGCTACGCGTGAACGAGACCGCGCATAAATTCCTTTATGAGCTTCGCTGCTTACAAATTCACAGCCTGTCGCCAATTTTATTGCTCTGCAGATCGTAGCTTTATCTATATGGGCGCTCGCGAGAGAGCAGAGAGCGAGAGAGCGACTTTTACTCGCTAAGCTAAGCCTGTATAAATACTGGCTATCCCTTTACACGCAGAACGACGACGACGACGACGACGACGACGATCGTGCAGCTTAGTTCCGAGCATTAACACGTATGTGCAAGCCCGCAGCGGTAGCTTGCTACGCATAATTAACGGCTTGGTGCCTTACTATAACCACGAATTTTATTATTCCCCTGCGCTCCCAAGTAGAGGCAGAGGTGTACACAATGAAAGCTAGAAACAACCGAGAGACAAGACGCAGGCGGCTCCCATCGCGGTACGATAGGTTATGCCAACGACCATGTGCTAACTCGCTTATGGCTTTTTTTTCGAACGACCGCGATTGTCTTGTACGGCGATCTAATCTGATCTAGAAAATGAGCGTACAACTCAGCGGCTGTCCCCGGTGAAAAAGTGACTGCGACTTTGACCGAACTGCCGCAGTTTTCGAGCCGTGAACGTATCGGCGCACGTAATTAGCTGGGTGCGCGAGGCGGGAGGGATCGCTATTTTTTAGCGAGATTGACAAAATCGCCGACGGGGCGTGTTGGATCTGCGCGCGCGTGTTTGGCCGTAAATCAATGTCCGCAGTTTGCGTGCATTTCTTTTCATTAGAGCGCACGGTAGACAACTCGGGGCGAGAAAGGCGAGAGAAGTGTGCTTTTGTTTAAAAGGCGCGCTCTCGTCGCCCGCCGCGCCGCTACGATACAATGGCCGCGCACACGAGTGAGAGAGAGAGAGAGAGAGAGAGAGAGAGATCGTCTACTGGCCGATCGCATGATTCGTCTGCGTAAATAACAATTAAACGGAACCCACGGCGCAATAACTTAGGCCGGCCTGCCAGCGAGAGTCGGCTATCCTCGCCTGCGCGCAGGATTATCGTGATGCACATAAATCCTAATTACCCGCCCACGGAGTGCGCATAATTACCGATAATTAGCGACGCCCAACCTATCGTCTCCCTGTCTCTAGCCGACTATGCTCGTCTCTCCTCTGCGCGAGCAGTAGCTACTGTTTTTTCCAGTCTGTTTGCGCAAAACAATGCGCCCCGAGCGAACCGTGGCAATTGTCATTGATCTGCAGGCGATTGCCTTTCGCTATCCACTGCCAGATCTGCAAGTCAATTTTAATTTAACTTGCCGAGCCTCCTTCTCCTCCTCCTCCTCCTCCTCCTCCGCCCACAGTGCACAATCGTAAAACACGCTCAAACCGCGCTGCCCGAGTCGAACAGACGTCATAACTTATCAATGGTCCAACTTTCAACTTACCGGGGAGTCACTGGTCCATCATAATCGTCCAAGTTTCTCGATTGATCCAACAGCAAAAAATATCCTTCCAGCTCCTCTAGTTGTGCGGCTCTCGCCGCGCTTACTTCCTTCAATATCTGAAACAACGATATTATGATGAAAGTTCGCACACTTGGAAGCTGCATACACACACGAGTTGGAAAATAGAGATATGCCTGCAAGTTCGTAAAAGCTACACGAGCATGCACAGAGCGATAAAGCACGCAATTTTCGTCAAAAGGGCGAGGCAGTTAGTGGACGTAAGGAAGGTGTAAATAGACACAAAGCATGTGCGAGAGAGCATATAAAGCCTGCAACGAGTTGAAACAAATCTGGCCGCGCTTAATGTTTCCGGTAACAGCTTTGGTTGGCACGTTCGCCTGCTATCCGCACTGTTGGCTTGTACACGTCCGACCGATTTTGCGCGCTGCACAACCACATGCCAATGCCGCCGCTGCCGTCGGCGCTACGCCGCACTTTAATAGGTCTTTTCCAGTGCACATGTTTATGTCACCAGTGTGTAGGAAGTGCCTTTCTTCTCTTTACCCGCCATGCCAACAACAAATCGACTTTGCTACGCAGCTCACCTCGAGCTTGCCGTTTTAATACAACCCTAATAATATAACGTTTCCTTTCCAAACACTCCAAATTATTCGCACACGGTATTTTATTTACAAGTTATTCAACGTCGATCGATCAGAACTAAAACAAAGCCCTGACCTTCCGTGTAGTTTTGTCAAGCCACAAATAAAAGATCATTCGCCGGGAATCGCATACAGGGCAAATGAAACTTTGAAAAACAACCAACGGCGTGTATTTCGTAGTCGATTAAAAAATGCATCCCGCCTGAATGTGCAGTAAAATATTGCTCTCTCTCTCTCTCACCGCAGACCAAAAACAGGGCCATCGTTCGAACTTACCCGGCGTAATATTTTTCCGCCCAAAGCTATTTCCGGTGATATATATATTTGGCAATATACGCGGGTAAAACTGGCTGCTCGGGCTCGCGCATGCATGATCGACATTGCGAAATAATCATTTTTTTGCTGCTCGTCGGCAGAGGGTGGGCATTCCGAAAAGTGAAAGAGAATAAAGGGAGTGTGGGCACGCGAAAAAAGCTTGAAAAATGCAAAGCTCGTCCAAACGAGCGCGGCCCGGGCTTATACATTCTCTTGCAAAAATAAAATCGGTTTTCCGATAACTGGTTATTTGCTCGCACAAGTGGCACGCTGACTGTACGTATAAGGAAGCCAGCACAGCGGAAGCGGTTTTTCGCGTGTAATATTACCGCCGTGTTATCGGTCGAACGCCGAATGGAAGGAAAGACAGACGAGGGAGCGAGTATATTATATGAATACCGTACTAAAATGCGAGATTGTAGCAGAAATGATGGAAAATGACGAGAGGGCACACGGGGAAAAAGGAAGGACACGCGCATATATAGAAAGCTCAAGCGGGCGTCGAGTAACGCAACAATATATCCGCGCGATCACAATATGCCGACATTCAAGTGGCCAATATCAACCAAGTGCACTCGTCTGAGCCAATGCTAATAATCCGCCATTGTTGAGGGATCGCAATCTTCTTATAACTACACGCACGTTCCGTGCTATCGCTGATACTGCTTGCTGCTACGTATGAGGCAGTTCCATCCTTGTCGCGAATTCACATTTTCAAATTGCTCATTGTACACGATTTCGTGGGATAAAATTTATGCAATTATATAATAATACATTTGATTTTTCTTATATTTGTCAAAATCGAGTTTACAGCTAAACATTGTAATGTAACCCCTTATAAAAAAGTGTTAGATTCCATGTTGAAGCATTTTATTCGTGATCTAATTGGCTGATATATAGTTACGTGATATACTGTTATGGCAGCAAATATGCGTGTGGATGTGGTTTCGAGTTGAGATTTTAGTAATAAAAACTCATTTTATCATAATTGATAGGAATAATTTTGAAAATAATGAAAACGAAAAAACGGCAGCTGCATTATTATTATTTTTACACTCATTCTATGAAACTACCAGTGGATAAGTCGTTTGATAAAAGCAAGATGTTGTTATGCTTTGGAATTATTCTGATTATTTTCTATTACAAATCGATAATCTGATATTTGAACGTGTAAGATCTAAAAAAATGTAATATAATATAATCTTTATTCAAAGAGTAGGATAAAAGTTTAATAGTAATTTGAATCGTATAATTGGAAAGAACTGTAGAGATTGTTAGTAGCAGTTTTCGATATGATAATTCATGAATTTAGAATACACGGAACTGTTTTACTAGTACGGGTTTTCCACTGTGATATGTGTTTTGTAAAAACAATTGAAAAATTGACCTTTGAAAAAAATGACTTGCGTTAAATATGTTAATCAATATGATAAGAAATGTAAAAGAAGATGAAAGTGCACAGAGCGCGCTTGAAGTAAAGTTAAAAAGTAGTAAAGTTAAAAACGTGGATGCATCGACGGCTCGCATAGAACGTCTAATGCTAAAATTTATCACAGAGGGTTTGAAGATGTTTGATAAGAGAGAATGGGCGCGCTGAAAGTGTCATTTGTAAATCAGGAGAATGCAACGGCAGAGAGAGAGAGAGAGAGCTCTCTACGAAGCGCACGTTTCTTTGTGCGAGCGCGACAATCGCGGCTTATTGCAGCTCTGCGACAACGAGGCGAAAACCGGAGGAAAACGACGACGAAGCCTCACGACACTCGATCGGGCTAATGCGATTCAAGTGGTGCTGGGGCAAAGAGGAGAGGAAGGGGAATAATAGAAACATCGATGCCGCGGCGGCGCGTTTCCGGCGATCCTTCCTCGTCGTTTATCGGCCGCCAAGATCACGATTGTGCACACATAATACCCACGAGACGAAAGAATTCTCTGTCTCTGTTTCCGTCCTCTTTGCTCTCCGCGTGTCCCAGAAACAGCAAGCAAGACCGAATCGAAAGCTGCCCGTGGATGCCTTTCACGCCGGCGCGACCCACGCGAAGCTCCCGCGCGGAAGAAAGCTCATTTCGAAACAATTATACGCACTTGTTTGGCGCGGCTCGCTCGCCCACGCGTCCACACGCGTTCATCGGCGCAGCGACAATCAGCCCCATTGAGCCTCTCGCCAAGCTTGTACGCGCTAGCGCGGCTAGTTGCAGCCTTTGTCTGCGCTTACTTGTAAGAGCGGCGCTTTCCATTATTCCTCGCGCCGAGCGCTTGGCGCTTGTGTATTCAGACGAAAGTTTCTTGTCCCGACGCAGCTTCGCCTCTCTTGTTAGTGAATAAAAATCACACGCCGCCTTTCCTCTGCAGCCAGACTCGTAGCGAGCCATCATCAGTCAGGAGTGAAAGTGAAAAGTCACGATCACTAATGTCCCCTAAAGTCAAATAACAGACGTACGCAGATCGAATAAGTTAATCAAGTGATTAAGTGTCGCGGCAAACAACTTCATTTATATGCGGCTATCGTCGGATTATAAATCTGTGTCGGTACAATACACAGACAGCGTGCATTGTATTTCGAGAAAGGCCACATTTCCGCATTTTACGCGACAGTAGTAGGCGATCGCGACGTTATCGCGATCGTGGTCCTCCCTAATCAGTCATTCGAATTTAGACGTTAATGAACAGCACTGAATAGAACGCTCTAGCGGTCAGCTAGCGAAACAGCCGTTTTCAGGCAGAACAGAGAGTGAACCGGTGTGTAATGCACACAACTTGAGTGTACAAGCGAGAGCGGACGTGGAATGCAGATTCGAAAAAAGTTCGGTGCAGCGGCAGCAGCTCATGCATACGCACGTGGTTCGCTGTGGGCACACAAGTGGTATAACCTAGCAGAGTAGCGCTCGCAAGAAAGAGAGAGAGAGAGAGAGAGAGAGAGAGAGAGAGAGAGAGAACTGCAACTAGAGTATGATATCTCGGGATAAAAATCAGTCAAACTAATTCTCATTGCTAAGCAGTGGTCGTCCGCATAAATTTGGACTGCCGGCGGACGTTAGGATTCGCGATCAGATTACGCGCAGCTCAAGCCTTGTAGATATTATACCATGAGTGCAGTTCTCTTTCCTGGTCGCGAGCACGCGCCACGTTTCTCCGCGTGTATGTGTATGTGTGTGTATATCGAGTGCATCTCGCTATATGGCTCTCCTTGTTTTTTGTGTGCACGTGTGGCCAGATGCCGCTGCACACGGAGACACGCGCAGAACAACGACTTCCGTGGCGGCTATTTTCTTTGAGACCGCGACCAAGAGACAGAGAGAGAGAGAGAGAGAGAGAGAGAGAGAGAGAGAGAGAGAGAGAGAGAGAGAGAGAGAGAGAGAGCGAGCCGATTGTCTTTGCACTGCACATGCACTGCGCAGTCCTTTCTAAAGTCCTCGTGGCACATAAGTAGCCACAGTTTCTTTTCGCAATTGTGTCATTCCAGTTAGCTTGAATGTTCTTTTGCATGCGCTACCTTCGCTTATATATGCATTTCGCTCCGAGATATGCACGCTCGCTTTATTGTTTCAGATTGCCCGGATACTTTCTCTATGCGGTTTCGTGATCGCCAACTGATTAGAAAAGGCCTTGACATCTCGAAATAAACCATAACTTTTACGACTTGTTAACTTTGACATCAAGATTCTGAACTTTGAAAAGAAAACTAATTATCCCCGTAAGGCTTATAAAAATAGGAACTGGTTTTAATTATAAAACACTTTCACATCGATTGTTAGATTAAAGCTTATTCTCTAATAAGATTGAATCACAGTACTGCAAATATCTCATATTTATAAAATATCTGGAAAGTATGGTATCGCAAACTAACTACTGACTTCATAGTGATCGCGAATTACTTTATTTACGTGATTGTAACAGTTACTTTGACCAATTGTATTAACGCTATCGTTAGAAATGAATATTTATTAGTAACTCTGAAAAAGTTTATCGTGTTGCAATTACTCGTAAATAAACTTAATTGAGCACGTTTTGTTATTTTTTGAAGGTTTTGAAAGGCACAATTATAAGCACACAATTATTTCAAAAAATGTTCTCAGAAATCAGTCACAATGAATGTTCAATATAGAAAATTAATACTAAAATGCGGTTTAAAAGTTTTTCAAGAGCCGTTGTCTCTGAAACAGAAAAGAAGCTGGCAAGCTTATTATAATCGCTGCACGGCCTTTTATGCAAATCCATCGAATATGAGGTATATAACAATCAGCAATCTCGACAATAAATAGTCGGCCTGCAGGACGCCATAAAAGATGCGATCGCAGAGCCACTTCTCGCGTCGCGCGAGAGTTATAAGCAATTATAAAAATGCAATAATAATGGTCGCAAGCGCGTGAGCGAGCAAGAGGTTGCTTCACGCCTCGCGTGTGTAATGTGCCGGAGCGCGAAAAAACAGAAACAGAAGAAAGAGCGAGAAAAGCAGGGGGTCCTGAATTTCTATACGATCGCGGCGAGGCTAATGCGCAAAGCCAACACTTAGCGGCTCACGCGAGTCGGCTGTCGCAATGGCATATTAAGGCAGTACAGCTCTTGACGGGCTGCCAGGCCTACACGACTCGAGTGACACGCGGACTTTCCTCCGCGCACAACCAACACGCGCGCACTTTTCACTTCATCTCCTTCGGCCGCGCGCCTGCGCGCCTGCGCTATTTGTCTTGCGCGCATACCAGTATTTACGTATAAAGCGACACGTCGTCCTTCCCAACCGCGGAATGCCATTCTCCAAACTGGCCTACGCGCCGCTTTTAGAATGCACTCGGTAATGCGATTATGCTAATAAACCGCCCTTTCTCGCGCGCTCCGCGCCGCTCGCAGCGCGCACAGCTAGCTACAGCTAATTATTGAAAATGAGCCATCGATCTTGCCACGCGGCCCTGGGGAGATTATACGGGCACCCGGTGTCACGTGCGCTTATATTTAGGCTTCGCTGAAAACGCCGCTTTTAGTCGGATCATCTCCTTTATCGACGCGGCCTTTTTCGAGAAGGGGCTTCCGAGCACTTAATCAACTGGTGACGCGACCAGCCGATTGATTTCTCGCCAGTGAGCTGTCGGCCGAACGGTTAGTGAAAGCATAACGCTCTATTCTCATACGTTTCCCGCTGCGGTCCAGCACTTGGGAGAAAAACGGCGAGTTAAACCTCGCGCTTACCTGTGGACTTCGCTTCTCGATTTTCGATTATCGAAGGAGAGTTTCGATAATCCCAAAAGATTGATGGGACTGACGGGTGATTTCTGGAGATGTGACGGCATCTCCAGCTTCTGAAATACGTCGGTGATAACGTTCAAATATAATAAGGAGGCATTCAAAAGAGCACGTCCATCGAAGACCCCTGTCCCATTGCCTACAAGAAATACGTCTGGATACGCGGGTTGGCGATGCGGCAAAGGTGCTCATATCCACCTGCTAAGCCTGCGAGTCAGTAACACCATACCTCCGGTATCTTGAATATCTACGATCCTCTGGGGCCTTAGTCACGGACTCTTTCTCCCCGACTTCTCTTTCACCTTTCTTTCGTTCTTTCTTTCCCGCGTGCAAACAGCCAGCAGAGCCTAGATATCACGAGCTGAATGTTTATGTGTGTGGTGTGTGTGTGTGTGTGTGTGTGCGCGCGCGCGCGTGCACGCGTGTGTCTGCAGCCGATGCATTTTAAGCTTCTTAAATTTCAAGGTGAATGCCTGGATATCGGCTCGATCCATACCCCTCGCCCGCTCGCGCACCTTTCCTAGTAAAAGTCCATAACTTTCCCTCTTTACTGGCCACCTGTCCGGCAACGTAGGATTTACAAAAGGCCATCGCCTTATTTTCGAGCTTCGGTCCCCCTAACAATGATTTTCCCCTCCAAGCAATACGCATTGGTGCCTCGGGACACGGGATAGAAATAGATACAGTCTCATGTACCTTTTTCCTCTCCAGTGCCATGTAAACTCACACGATGCGGATCTTGGTTTGTATTATACCTCGGGAAATGCCTCGAAAAAGTAATTCGTTGCACTTGTTTCCAGGTCCTGTGCAAGTAGATTTTTCTCAACTCAACCATACACGCGGATACATACACATATATATTTTTTGTTATCGTTTCCATGTCAACTTGGCTATCCTGCACGCGAAAAATTGACAGTAGTATTATTAAGCAATCACTGGCTAAAAGCTATAAAGTCGTTGTGGCAACGTTAAATTTCTTACGACTCGCTGGCTTGAGCGTATTCGGTACAAGGCAGTAAACGGTTCAATTAGCAGCGAGCTGTAATGAAGTCGAAAATGAAGTGAGCAAACGGCAAGAGCAGGAAATAAACTCCGGTGCGCGAGGCACTTTCTAAGCCGATGCGGTTATGTGTGTGCGCGCGCGGCAATGGACTGGAATATGGTTGCAAGGACTTGCGCGGAGAGGAAAAGTCGACGCGGTTATTTATGGTTTTTCAATGAGCGTTCTCGTTACAGAAGACAAATTGCGATTCAGCACGCGAGCCGAGAGAATTTCAGTGAATGTTTGGCGTTATTTTGACGTATTGTTAGTCCGCGCAAGGAGGCCGCCGTCGCCGCTACCGCTCGCGCTGCATTCTTTCTTTTCTGCTCCCTTCTTCCTCCGCCTTTTTTTCCCTTCATTGCGCTTGCCTGTATTTCTGCCTCGTTCGTCGCCTGCAGTCGTTCGGTACGCGGACTACCGCAGGCATTTTCTCTCTCTTTCGACGTCGTCGCTTATTTCGCATGCCGTGGACGACGGCGTTTCGTATTCCGCGCCGTTTTTACGGCGCTCGATTCGCATAAGTCGCGGAAGTTGCTCGAGGCTGGAAACCGAGCGAGCACCTAGCGCGCCTCTTCCCTCTTCCCTCTTCCCTCTTCCCTCTTCCCTCTTCCATCTTCTTTTTCTTGCCTCATACTCCACTCCGATGGGCAGATTCGTCCACTCCTTTAGCCACGAGCTTTTTGCCATTTGTACTACAATTCATTTCCATGTTTATATCATCAGAGGCTTCGGGCGCTAAAACGAGCGAAGCTCGGTCAAAGTTCACACGGAAAGAGATGAAAATACAGGTTTGCGGAAAAGCTTATGAACAATGTAAAAATGCAAAGTTGCCTAGCCATAGACGAATTTATCGTCTGCTATCGCGTCGGCGTTTACGTACGCGCCGTATACATTACGACAGCGCATCTTTGTGCGCGACTTTTATACATCCGAGCCGTTTGTATGCAGCGCGATTGCGCCTAGTATGTATAAGCGCGCTGACGCATACATCTTTTCCGGTTGCGCCAGAACAAAGACTATGCTGACTGATTTTTTGCTCCGTTGCGCTCCGAATGTCACAAGACTGTTTTTGTCCCACATTTGAAAACTATATATATTGTACGAGCTCGTGGGCATCGCCTGTTCACCGGCCAACCATTTCTCATTCCGAACAATCACTTACGAATTCTGTATGGAGTAAAAAGTCTACACGAAGAAGATTGGCCAGTCGACATTTTTACAGAAGAGAAGATTCGAGAGAAGAGGAGGAAAAGCAACACACACAATGCCACGGCACGGCCAGAGAAACGAGGCGAGCACGCGAGAGCGCAACGTCAAACCGTGGCGCTTCAGCTTCTCGAGTTCTCCAGTCCTTTTCGGGAATAGAAGAAAGGAATCGTAACGCCCGCAGAGGAGCGATAAGTTGGAAGTTGGTCGAGGAGGGACGCCGGGCTCTCTAGCGGCTTTCCACTCTCCGAGATCGAGACAGATCTTTCACGCTCGCTCGCTCGCACGCTTGGCTCTAACGGACACATTCAATCGATTGGTCAATCGTCCCTTTTTACTTTTCCCCTCGTTCTTCCTCTTTTTACGACTCGCGTTCCTCTCGTAGGCGGCTCGCACGCAGCTATCGGAGTAGATTACGCGGCCTACGCGATGCGCGACTCTCCGACAACGCTGGATTTTATCTCGGCTTCTTTTCTCGGTTTGTCCGTTGGCCTCGGCTTCCTAAATATCATTCGAACGCAACTGCGCACACGAAGGTTAGCGTAATAAACGCGAGCTTTGTAAAATATCGAGCGCACGCTCGTTCCGAAAATAAACTTTTGTGGAAAAGCGGCGCACAGGACGCGCATAACGCGGGCATGTAAACCGCCGGCGAAGAAGCGCGGTGTAAAAATACAAGCGGCTCGTAAAGTACGCAGGCGGAAGACAGATGTGCGCGAGCTCAGAGAGGACGCGCGACGTCGCGCGAGGAGATGCACTCGAAGCAACAGATTCCGGGAAGGCCCAGTGCGTTTACGTGCGAGAGCGTGGAGAATCGGGACGTCGGCTCGTTATGCCACGTTCGTAAATCTTGGCCGTGGCTCGGGAAAATTGGTCGCCGCTCGCGCGGGCGCAGCCACTCGGCTAAGAGCCGCTCCGGGAGGTTCGATTGCGCAACAATTGGGTGCGCGCGGCAGAGGAGCGCGCGGAAGGGGGGAGCTAGCTGGAGCTCGGCGCGGAGGCGTGGGCCGCACTGGAAAAAGGAGTTATCGCACCTGTGCGCGAAGGCTACTTGCGCCGCACCGCTCGCGATCGGCGCTGCCGAGATGTACGTAAGGCCGGGCCCGAGAGTCCTTTCTCGGGCGTAGATAGCATCGCGGAGAGGCAGAGAGCCGCGGGCGCTCTCCGAAAAAACGCCGACTCGAGCCGGTTTTTTTCGAGGCA